AAGGTTTTTGCAAAGCTCTTTTCTAGAGCGTTCTAATGCCTGCTCGTGAAGTAGCTGCACATTTACATTTAAATCAAATTTCATGTTTTAAACTCTGTCGCATTGTTATTTAACCGCGCGTTTACTTACCATTGAAGTCGTTATGCGTTCCCTGCCCTCATCCTTCAATTATAGAAGTTCCAAATAAGTTTCTTATAGTTCTAAGGACAGCACTTAATGGAAGAAATCTCCAGTTTCTCTAAAATTCCCCCTGGTCTCCATTTTAATTCGACGTTCAAGTTGCGTTCAAATACTAATTTATTTTATTTTTGAGTCGGCGGGGTTGCAGCCAAGGTTGCTCTACCAACCCAACCCACTATACATTTACAAATATCCATGCCCGAACCCGGATTCGAACCAAGGACCCTTAGTACCGCAGTCCAACTTCAATTGAAGTGATGCGCCACACGCGCCTGATATTTTAATTTAATTTTATAGTAGCTGTTAAATTGACATTTTAATAGGTTTAAATGAGTAGGCTAAGTTCCTCACTTTAACCGCAAGGGTAGATAAAGTGAAATAGATGATTATGCATTCTAATGACTTCTGTCATCCTTATTTCAAATAGGATGCGGGATACATGACATGGAAAGTACTTTTAATGATCAACAAACTGCAAAATTGGGAAGTTCAGCTGAATGAATTTCTCACACACCTGAAACCCAACTGAAATTCTCTCACAATCCATAAGTCTCTCGTATTGTAGTATCACCTAGTCCCCTCCCTTCCAAACTCTTTTGCAAACCTTCGTTTAGATTAGAATTGATCAATAAGAAAAGTATTATGTTCCACCATGATAATGCGAAACGTTACACAAGTTTGGTACGCCAACAGTTAGACAGGCTAATTTTCGCGCATGAGCACTTTGTTTAGCGTTTAGTGCGAATGTAGGAAAATTCTTAGGTGTAATATTTTTTACCCAAAATCGTCATGAAACCTTCATTTTCATGCCTACTTTATGTCAGGTAATTTTAGCGCCGCCTGTCACTTTACAGGCCGCACCTGTCACATTACTAAATGTCTTAATGTCCATAATGACTCGCTGACAGATTGACATTAATCAAAAGTTCTATATGAGAATTTCGATTGTATATTAAAATACGATTTCGGATAAAATTTAATACAAAACTCGTCGGTAAAATGGCCCTACTTGACTCGAAAATTATAATAGTACCCCATTCAATATGCCCTCGCCAGTAATGTGTCGTTTTCCGGACATATGTAAATAACTATTTGGTACAATAATATTCTTGGTGGGTAACACTAGAATGGCACTGGCCACATTTAAAACTTTGCAATCTTGTGTGCTAATAAATGTGCTTTACTTTTAAATCAGTGCTATTAGGTATTACTAGTCGCTTAATTGCAGTGATTGCACTTAATATCTTTGGAAGTCTCGTGTGTAAATAAATGTGTCTCAAATTTGATTTATCATTAGTTGCGCAAGCACACTCGTTACATTTAAAATCCTTAAAAGCTCTGTGTATCTTAACATTTACTTTCTCAAACCAGATATACCTTTGCGATTTCTTGAATAAATAGCACTGATCACATTTTAAGTAGCTACAATTTCTGCAATATAATTTGATTAGTAAGTTCTTGTTGAATGCTATAAGTACCAATAGATTTTCTTGAACTTTTTTGTAGATCATATACAAGCTGTCTAATTAGTGCGATATCGGACAATAGGTACCTTTTCAACCTCGAGCTAATGTGAAGTTATTAAATAACCCTAATTGGTAAGCTCCTTTTCTACAGCTACTTAGTTTACTTAACACTTCTCCTTGCCCGCACTGTACGTAGAGGCTTTTTTTTTATTACTGAAGTTACATTCTATACGTGTTTAGGTTTTGCACTACTGAAAGTAGAATTGGAACATTCGAAACCGTTCGAGAGCTATCATGTGTACAGACGAATGGACAGAAAGTCTAAAATACTGAACGCGCTGGATCGCTCGTTTATAATCTATTCTAATATTACATATGCAGTAAATGCTCGCGGGCTTTGCCGAATCCCGAATCTGTAGATTGCGTAAGTCCTATAGTTCCTGCATATTCTGTATAAGTACATATTATTTCGTAGCTTCTGCAAAACCTTTGGATTTTTGATTGAACATTTTATATCAAGGTGAAATGAAATCCGCCCCGCGGATTTTGTGCGTGATGAGATGGGTACAAGAGCGCTTAGATGGTTAGAAAAGACTGCCCGTACTGTCAGGTGCAGTGCTAGCATGTGTTTTCTCTAGTGATCTCAAGAACAGTCCGTGTAACAATTGTTTAACATGACCTGACAGCTGAAGGGGTGAAGTCGATCGAGATATTGCAAAAAGGCTGCTGTGTCTGATGATATCAGTTTCAGATACACTCTATTTTCACGATTTTGGACTCACTTGAAAGGTCGCTTTTTCATGTCGGACGCAGAGGTGCATGACGACGTCTGTGAAAGGTATTCTTAGTCTGTTCAGCAATGCTCTAGAAATGTAGGTGTCTATTAACTTTGTAAATGTGCCAGTAAAGAAGAGTTTACCACGGTTACCTAGTGTTTAAAAATATTATAGTACACAATCGACGTTTTCCTCCACTGGCGAAGTACTACAATAATTAATTTTTCCCCTAATGTTTAAAAACTATAGTTTCGGATTCATTAAGTACAGTTTCTTTCGCACCCCTTAGAAGGGTATGTCATTTGAATTTTTTTACAAAATCCGCTTACATTATTGAAAGAAATACAAAATTTAGCACTTTGCGAAGCGTTATTGACCATCTGTCTATTTGGAAGAAAACTCTTTTCTTGCACCCTGTATACTGGAAATACAATAACTGAAACACATTTCTTTTTCAGTTTGGAAGTGCCATTTTTAGGCACCGGCCGTTACTTTAAACGATGGTAAAGCGACCTGCTGTGACACTAATACCTTCTTTAATTCAAAAACGCCTACAGAAATTTAACGTTATTCATTTCTGCTGTGCAATAGTGTGCACTTCTTCTCGAAGCCCTCATAAAAGGTCACTTTGGACGTCGGGAAGGTTAATGAACATCAGATTATGTCATATCGCAGCGAAAAGGTTTCCAAAATATCAATTTGGACCGACACGATTAACATTACTTAGCCCTAGTTGCACCAACAAAATTAATCCTTGCTTAAAGTTAAGTCGAACTTAAAATCTATGGCAACGATTATTAAGACAATCGTTGCTATGGTATTTAACTTTAAGGGATACTTAATTTTTACGGTGCAATTGGCCCTTACCATTGTTTAAATGCTTTATTTAAGCAATACCCTTACTATCTTAAATGAAATGCAAAGCAATTCTTTAAAATTTGGCATAGATACCAAAGAGGATCCATGAAACGTGGTGAGTGCACTCTGTGGTTACCAACAAAATTTTCGATTTTTTCATACGACTCATATGTTCCTCTCGTCAAAAAGTGCTAACTCGATTTAGGTACCGCTGATTTGTCATTTTAGTACAAGTACTATAGAAATTCTTCTATTTATTCGCGTTTTAATAACGACTCTTTGAATGGAGTGAAAAGTAGTAATTATACCTACCCATTTTCAAGCGATTTATGCACGCCAATTTAAGTTTATTACAGGAATCAAGTTCCTACTATCAAAATCAACATATAATTTATTACGAATCTGATTTAAAAATCTAACCATGTTCTTGATGGATAGATCGAAGCCTAGAATAGAAGTTTTGGATAGGGACATGTATGCTGAAGTTGTTAAATTAAGGGAATCATCGATTCCGTATGAGTCAGTTAAAAGTCATCAGATTATCCATTCTGACACTCGTAAGTACCATTTATAGTAGCAACATAGGAAATTATACCATTGCATTAACTAGATTCCTAGATCGCCCATTTCTTCGCTAATTTTGTATTAAAAGGAGGTGAAAAGATTTGATGAGCTGGGATTTGAGACAGAGCTAGTACACTAAAATTTGTTCGTCATTTTGGAATAAATCTGAATATATTTTGTAAGATAAATTCTGTATGTAGCTGAATTCGCATTGTAAAATGGATGCGCTTTTGATATCGCCAATCGCTAAGAAAAACACTAATATAAAAAAATCCCAATTTATATTCAGACAAACTTGATTATTGGAAAAACCGGTGGATTATTTAAAAAAAAATACAAAACGTAGTACCACTTTGATGTCGTAGACGTAACGCCTTATTTTTATGAATGACAATAAGGTTCAGGTATTTCGTAAACAATTAAAATTCATCTTTTTTTGTTATCGTTTGCGTATGATTTATTATCAGCGACCCTATTTTTACAATATTGCATCAGACAGTGGTAGAAGTGTAAACTAACTTCAATAACAAATGTTTGCACCAATCACAGCACGTTCATGATATTTGACATCTGTGCAACGACGCCCGTCGTTTACGACCACTGAATCAATTGTGGTACAAGAGATACATCCCTATTGTAGATGGCGCGCATTTCTGACATCTGACAGTTTTCCGCCATGAAAATGATGCCGAGCAAACGAAGTTCTCAGTTAAAATGTGTATGTTGCAACTTATACTGATAAAAAGGCAGAGCTAGTTTCATGGTAGTAACAGAAAACCGGTCGATATTGAGAAAGTAAAAAATCTAAATTATGATTTCAAGATCATTCTGTTACAAATCGATGACCTTTTTTCACCGTATAAAATCTAAATCCGTTGTAAAATGTATCGACCATGGGATTGTTCGAAGATATTTTAGAGAAAAGGTCAATCAAGAAAAGCGGGTATAAGGTATCTTTGCACATGATTGTGGTTCGGTAATCTTATACCCACCATTTTTTTTGTGTATTAAGTTACCACGTGACGTGAACGTGCCTTGCCAATTCGTATGCCTACAAGAGGGAGCGAAGTGCGAAAAAAATAAAGGAAACAGTATATCGTATAGTCCAGTTAATTTGTTTAGAAATGTAAATAGCCAAGGCTAAACTCGATTTTACCTTCAACTGATGGTAGGAAGAAAAAGCAAAGTCGATCTTGGTGCGAGCGGTGAGCTGTTTTTATAGCTGGAGTAAATCAGGAGCGCTACATGGTCCTGGAGAGAAGGGTACGACCGTTGACTTCTGGAGCAGAACGGCAGGAGGAAACGACATTCACAAGCACTCACTCCTGTCATAATAGCACGGCACTCGAAATTCCCAGACCCGCGAGTTGGACTGATGCGTTTAGTAAAAGAGTTGGCTGGCGTAAATGAGGAAACACCACCTACGCAATAGTCACTTTTATTATTAAAGTCGCACTTTGCACAGCTTACTCTGTTGGTTGATTAGTAATTATGTATCAGACAGATTGTGCGTGTGTTGGTGTCGAAGCCGTAAAAGAGACTGGAGTCTTCGTCTTCGACGACGTCGAAGCAGACTTGTTGTCGGCCTGGACAGACCGCAGGTCTACAATCTTGCACTACTGGATGATGACGCGAAGGTTATTTGATATTTCACGTTTTAACTACGCTAATCGTACAATTTACTAAATTTAACGCAATTTACAACAACGGAAGATCTATCCACCACTTCTTCCACATACACCTCGAACGTTAAGATGGCGTACTCTTCAACTACTACTACTAGGTATATAATTTAGACCGCTTTTTAACATCAATCAGTACCTACTCAATACACTCGGCATTCAGCATTTGCATATGTAATTTCTCTTATAAATCTTCATCCTATTGGTACGGAAATCTCGTGCAAGGCCTGATTGGCTGAAATCGAAAACGCCGCGATAGACACGAAATGGCAGACAACGACGCCATTAACTGAAACGAGCCAAAAATTAAGGCGATATCTTGGACAACTTACGAACAATAAATGTTATTATATCATCAATGCAAATTGAATGTCATAAGTCAACACTCCCTTTTTCCGCGCATCATCAGACAGAGTGACGCCATTTTTTTCATATATATGCATTAAATACACATTAAAGTTATTTATTCGTTTAAACAAATTATAATGAATTTATTTTAATTGCTAATTTTTTTGGGGAACATTCTTCTTATTCTGCCTTTTGAAAAACTTGAATTTTTTTAGACACGACTGCGACAGTTTGTCTGACAACGATATTGTAGCAGAGAAGTCAATGTCAATTAAGAACGAAAAGAAAATTAGGAAGCGCATGACGAAGACTAGTGGATGCACATAATTGAAAAATATAAAATAATGAACAAATAGAGAAGATAACCTTGTATCCAGAAGCATTAGTATAGATATATGGACAGATATTGCATAATTCTGTTCATAGGTAATGCTATCGATATTCGATTGTAGTTTAACAATAAACTTGTCTATATTCTTTAAAGTGCCTACAACAGAACTATAACATGAAGTGATTGGTGTAATCAACTTGATGGTGCATCCCCCATGAAGGTTTAATTAAGCCAGCGCAATTTTATTAAAGATTACACACCTATCTTGCCTTGCAAGGTGTGAATGGTATTTGTACTCGTATTGAATGTAATCGTTTTAAGAGCAGAACTGCACGATTATAAAACCTCCAATTTTTTATTCATAATTTCATACTACACATAAAAATTTGGGTTTGTTTTAAATAAATATCAAGTGTTTATACTTACTCCGCAAGAAATTTGATTTAAACAGACCAATTTCTCATTTTCAAAATTAGTTCCATCTTTTATGCAAAACATTATCTATAGGTTTTTTTTAATATAAGCAACTGTAATTGAACAAGAATTATTAGATTTACTTATAACGAGCACTGGATATCTTTAAACAAAATGTAAATATTGTTGAAGGAAGAAATTCCTAAATTTGCTATAAAGTGCGATTTTCTTTTTTTGAGAAACCTTCCGTTAATAACAAAACTAAGTAAGTAGGTATTTTTATTTGTCCTAAAAAATTCGCAGAGGTATATAGGTATTATATGAAAAACCGCAAAGATTGTTACCGGAAGAGCCTTTACATTTTCCAAGTATGTTACTTCTATTTTTCAGAAACCTTTTAGGATCAAACCATGTTTTCTTGTTGTAAAATAACCCGTAAGTAAATTAATAGAAAATATTGTCAAGTCGAGATTCATTTTTAATTTTAAAGTATTGTTTCTTTTAAATGAAATACGTCATAGGGTTGAAGTGTTCATATAGCAATTGAGCGGTAGTTTTCTAGGGATATACTTATTTACATTATTATGGTACAGAAATATAATAATACCTTATCTTAAGCTTAACCTGCTTAACTTAAAATGATTGCTCACCAGTACTCAGTAGTATTTAAATAGGTAAGTATAGTATTTAAAGTTACAGCAACACGGTGTGTGTGACTTGCGTAACGCATCAGGGATTTCAATGTAAAATTCATAACACACGATTATTGAAAAAGATGCGGGTTTTATTTTTCCAATTTTCCGTCTTTATTATGAAAAACATTGAAAACTAATACGGTTGATTCGCGTAAAAAAATTTTTCCTAAAAAAACCTTAATACATTTTTGCTCTAAAATAATTTGGCGAGCCGCAATAATCGCATGTTATGAATGTTACATTAAAATCCCTACGATGCGTTACGCAAGTCACCACCCTGTATACAATGCATATAAAATGGTTATAGATAACTGATAAGTAGGTAGGTACTTCGCTATGTATAACTGGGATTAACTTAACTGTTAGAAAGGGAAACATACAACTCTCGGACACTAGTTGAAGTATAGATGGATTGAATCGATGATAGGTATATGAGTATAGTTTTTCCCAAGTATAAGCTTTGTAGTAGGTAAGAGAAGTAGTGCAGATTATAAAATTCGGATTTCACACAAAAATATGGCTTAAGGGTAAATGTGTTAGTAATGGACACTCTAAAAGATATTTCACATTTGAAGAGCTGTATAGATATTTCAATATATAAAAGAAAGTAATTCTTGAATAGTGAATCATCAAACACTTTTTATGCAGAACCTAAGTAGGGTATACAATATTACAAATTATGTAAATTGAAATTTTTATTGAAAATTTTACCCAAAAAATGCCCGAGTACCAAGTTTTGGACACTCCAACATTAGTAATAGACGTATCACATATGAGTAATATAATGGACACTTCAAATTTTAAGTAGATATATCTACTCATCTCGCGGGATTGTTGTAATGCCCTTTTTTATTTTGATGTAGGATATCTGGATTAATGTTATTGAACTAGTTATAATATTTTTTTTTTAATTGTTCTTGAATAAGGGCATTAACATGTTATATCATCGAAAAGAGAACAAAAATCTATCAAATGCGAATAATGAAAAGGAGCACTGCCAAAAATTCAATTGTTTTTCGTTACTCATTTATTTTCTGAAATAAAAACAACTCAATACTTACTTATTATGGGAAATAAAATATCAAACAAGGTTTATATAGAAAAATTTGTAACGAAGCTTGGCATCTTTACAAATTCACTCTGTTCTTGAATCATGTGGGACATTTAGAGATATAAGAGGTCAGATGGTGTTACTTCAATTCCTTGGGGAAAAGGGCGATCCCTTGAGTGGGATGTAACTGTGGTAGTCCGCTAGCTCCTAGTTACTTGAATTCTACCATTAGAGCGGTGCTGCGGTTGCTGAGGCTGAACGTCGGAAAATTAATAAATATAGAGACCTCGGTCATCAATACATCTTCCACCCAGTTGCGTTTGAGTCGATGCGGCTTGCTGGGGAATTGGGCATTAATTAAAGACGTCAGCAACAGACTCGAGCGTGGAACTGGTGAAAAACGAGCCACTGAATTTCTGTGGCAACGTTTTTATATTGAATTAAATCATTTTATGATTTTATGTAAATGTTTATAGTGTTATTGCCCATTTTGTTTTGGTACATTCTTGATGTGATACCTAATAACTACTTATTCAAAGATTTGGTCATGTTAATTCGTGGTTTGCTAGTTCTCATTTAAAATTATCGATTGAAACCTCTCGGCAACTTTTTTCGAAATCATTAAGTTAAGTTCTTCATGGAAACCTCCCGAAATTTTCATGTAAATGAAATGTTAGGTTTAGATAATATATTAATACCCTTCTTAAGCATCTATCCGGTAATAATTTGAAATATTTTGCACCCCAATAAGAATTTCTAATTGTTAGGTACAAACATCCTCAATGCATTACTTTTTTTGCTATAAGCAAGTCGTCTTGATGTCCCTTTTAAACAACTGTACAAAGTGCACTACATAGATAATGGAATCTCAGTAGGTGAAGTATGTGTAACCATTAAGTCACACAAAAATATAAGAATGAACAGTTACTATAGGTTTGATAACAGAAGTAGGTAATTATACCTTCATAGGTCTAGGTCATCAGATCTGTCACTTGCAGTGCATTTCTGTAATGCATATGGCGTCAACAACTACTTAAACGCTAAATATTGCTATACTTGCAATGATTTTCCATCTTTCTAAAACTTTATTTATCTCAAAAAATTTACAATCATTTAGTTAAGATGGCTCTCTAATTATTAGTTGATCAAAATTGCATTTCGTGTGTTCAGCACGCACAGCATGTCTAATGTCCAACCTAGAGACCTATATCCTATCATAGAATAAGTAATCATAAACATTCAAAGAAACTCAAATGATTCACAAACAGTTTAGTGTAGGTGTCTGATAACAATATATTTAGTGCAGATTTCGTAATATTATTAAAATTGACGTTATCCCCTGTAAAATAACACAGTGTGAAGTAAATTAAACCTATTCCCGTGTGCCTAGTAGTTAACTTATTTGCCCTTTGACTACTACGATATGATTTTCCATACAATTATGAAATTTAGCTGTTATTTTACAAATTTGCATTAGCGTTATAAGAAGACAAACATGCCAGCATTTTCAATATTTACATTGCTTATTACTAGAGTATGGAAAGTAGCCCATTGACTGCTAAAATGCGATATTCCAAGAAACAACTGTCGGACTGTTAGTCAACAATGGCTTCTCAAATTTCTCCGTATGTCAACAAGCACTCACCTGTGAATTGCCATTCACAATTCACAAGTTTACGTTTATTGCGCCCAATAAACACTTTAAACCCGAAGCGAAGTCAATTGCCTTCTGCAAAGGTACAAATAAATATGTATGTAGTAAAAGTGCGTAAACATGAATGCGGCTACAGGAAATAACTGTTTCCACAGAGTTAAAATCTACAATTAGTAAGTATTCAATGCCTGTCAACTTTATATTTATTTAGTCTTCTTAAGAATGTAATAGTGTTAACGGGCAGTCTGAAAGGAGAGCTTTCAAGTGATTGCTTTACTAAATAATGAGATCCAGTTACGGGATTTTGAATTAATCCCTTTTAGTGTTCGATATCTCATACATTCAATACGTAATACCTATTCATGTTTAGGATTTAGTTAGGCTATGCACACTGCACCTCAGCGGCCATCGGGGTTGTTGTAGATGATTGGTGCACAATAAACGACAAAGTGTGACAACTGACGGGGTAACCGAATCTAGGGCGGATATCTTAATTCTTGAAAGCCGTATTCATCGATTACTTGTCGAACTTTTTGAGTCTTGTGCACCTAACTACTATTGTCGTGTAACAATATCATTTAATCTGCAGAATTCTCTCGCATGGCAACTTTAAGGTTTTTTTAAATAGGCTCTTTATAAACAACGCCTTTAATTTAATGTCGTTTTTCATGTAAATACTCAATTAACAGGATCTCTCACAATCCCAGAAGACTACAAATTATCCACTGATATAAACAAAACCACACATTCCATAAGAAAATTTCAGAGAAAACCAAAGTCAAAACGCCAACTTGTAAAAAAACGTTCTATTCCCAACCCAAGTGAGCCATGATAAAACAAAAGATGTTGAATTCTCACAATTAACAGTACAGTGTCGGTAGTGTATGATTGTTTTTTAATCAGTGCTGCGAAAACGTTCCATTTAAAAAAATGCAAGTTTGATATGCCACTAGAATACAGCACGCCCCTGGTGATCAAAAATATTTTAGAAACATGCCGGCGGAAATTGTGTATAATTTGGTTCTAAGACTTTTTTCGGTATCTTTTATGGTAAAGGAGTTATAATCCGAGGGATCGTAGGTACTACACCCTCTACAATTAACTTACAGTGGAATGATGTGCACGGACTGTCTACATTAATGAAAACCCCCAAAAACGGGGCAGTAAAACTAACAAGTGCCTACTAAAATAGTCCTCGATAAATTGTTGGTTGAACAATTGTAAAAGCTTAAAAGCCGAACCTAAAATCTAAGCGTTAGACAACCGTATATGCAACTATGAACTTACGTTTACAAATTCCAACTACGATCTAAAAAATTGGTAACAAGCCACAAAAAATGATTAATGAAACTGAAAACCAGCACAGCAACTTTTGGAACCGCTACAAATGCCTTTGTGCTGCTGGTTTCCAGTTTCATTACCCATTTTTTGTTCATTTTAATTCGCAGCCACATAAAAGTAGCCCTTTTTACCTGCAACTTTACCCATTAATTTCTATGCTACGACCAACAGAAATGCTAGGAACCGGTAGCATAAGTTTTGTTATACTCTAGACCTCTGCTGGTGTGTGGTGGTACTTTGTAGGCAGCGGCGTAGCATGCCCAAATAGCGCCTAGGGCGAGCATTAAAATTGTGTCCCTTCGTAAATTTCCTGAATATAAAACAAGATAGGTACGAAGAATCGTATACGACTTTCAGTAGGGGAATTTTTTGTGCACCGTTCGAACCTAAGAAAAACAGCTCATATTCAATAGCACTGATTCTTGAACTCGTAAAAATCGATTGACAAAGGTTTGACATCGCTATCTCTTTTCGTTCTCGAAAAAAAGCAGATAGCTACACTTTTAGCGAGGGGACGCTTCGACGTTTCTGGTAACGGCATTACAACACGTTGCGTCGATGCTTGCCTTCGCTCTTTTTTGAGGAACGGGTGAGGAGAGATGAAGGTTTGTGTCAGCGACTTTAATTGACACAACTGTCACGCTATTTAAACAGTGACAGCCCCAGAAGTCAAATGCAGCTGTAACACGAATGAGGATTATCCCTGGTACTGAAATTGGCACTGAGCCCAGATCTTGTTGATAGAGAATGAAGGAAATCATGCAATAAAATGTATTATATGCAGTGGTGCTGTGGCTTGGACCTACACCTCTACTAATTCGACAGCAATCATTTATGATCACTCGGTATACCAAAATTTTAACCTTGAACATCAAGCATTTATGATCACTCGGTATACACAGTTTAGTTTTTTGTTACCAAGTGCCATCTAGTACCCGTATGCTAGAAACAACCAAGTAACATCAAGTAGCAACCTGTATTTCCTTTGACGTTTCGTGAAATGCACTACATTTCAAATGCATTATATAAAATATGAAGTTCTTTATTCCCATTTAGTTTACATTTCGTAATAGACCTTGGCAAGCAATTATGACGTTCATGTAGCACAATGAAATTGGCAAAACCAACAATAATCCTTTTAGTTTTCATAATTGTTCTTTCAATGCTGTTGGCCAACGTAACTAACTTATTAAGTACAGAACAATCGTTTGAACCAAAGCATTTCAATGAGGGAACTAAATTATATATGACTGACCAAAATGAGCACATAGTGTGGTTTTTACAGGTGAGTTCCCATTATATGTATCCCGAATGTATTGTTCCCTTTCAGATATCGGACATACATGTCAGTGTATTTCGTGATTTGTCACGTATATCTGACTTTCGACAGTTTTGTGCGAATGCCATTAAGGTTTTTAAGCCCCCGGTTGTGCTGGCTTCTGGTGATTTGACTGATGCAAAGACTCAAGACAGTATCGGCTCGCAGCAGTTCCGACAGGAATGGGTGGAGTACCGGAATGTGCTGAACAGTTTGAATGTGTCTCAGTACACTACGTGGCTGGATATTCGGGGCAATCATGGTGGGATTTCTGGCAGTTTGTATTCTATTCTAAGTCATGTTTTGTAGATAACTTCAATGTGCTTAATTCGCTTTCCAAACAAAACTTTTATACGAACTATTCAATACAAGGCAAAGCCAATCCACGATCCTACCTTTATCAGATAGAAGTGAAGGGAGATGTTTATTCGTTCGTCGCAATCGATGCGTGCTTACGGCCGGGACCGCGCCGCCCCTTTAACTTTGTCGGCATGCTCGACGATGTGGAAATAGCCGTTATACGTAACATAGTGAAACGAGTCGAGGCTAGTCATAGTAAATATACAATTTGGTTTGGACATTTTCCAACTTCGTGTATTTTAAGTCACGAACCAGGGGGATTACGGTCAATTATTGGGAGACACGATCAGGCCTTGGTGTACTTGTGCGGACATCTGCACACACTCGGAGGACTTATTCCCAAGATGTACACCTTGCAACAGGATGGCTTTTTAGAGCTCGAGTTGGGTGATTGGAAAGATAATCGCATGTAAGCACACCTCTGTAGGAGGAAACTGTTATGGGGAGAAACCCAGGTTTCCATTTAAAAACAAGAACATGTAAATCTCTATAACAATTCCTCCTTAAGTGTAATAGTTACTCTCTAGATCTAAAGAGTGCCCATTAGGGCTTGTCTTTCCAATAGGCTCATGCCTTGGTAAATAAAAGTAAATTTTGGTTAAATTCACCCTGATTTTGTCAACATTCTTGCTGCAGTAATGGGTGACAGGCATTGTATAAGTAAGTTGTGTTGCCTAACCAAATTTTAATGAATTTATTGAGGGACTGAACCTTAATTACTAATACAACTAATTGTTTTGAAAATACGACCATTTAAAAAGCTTGGGGGAACTTTTATGGGAATATTTCACTTAGTTTTAGCATTCACCCCCAGCTACCTCCACTTTAAAATAATAATATGCACCCCCCATCTCCTTAAACATATTTGGATGTATGAATTAATTTTAAAATTTTTACCAAGAAATTGTCCTTTTAAACAATCCTGCAAACTTTTGTTTGCCATGGAAATCTAGATGTATACAATAAAAATAATTTAATATATAAAATGCAACATTGCAAGTTATATTTAACACCAAAATAGGAGTTTTACGCTCTTTTCAATAACTCCTAAATATGTAGGGTGGTCCGTATGAAAAAGTATAGTTTAGGGTTGTACAAGAAAAACCCAACACCTTGCAGAAAATCTGTATCGCGATGGGATTCTACATACATAAAAAGTGCTGTCAGAAAGATTTTGCTTTAAAATTCAGCTGCAGACACCTAGGTTTTTTCTATCTCTTAAATAAATTAAAATAAAGGGTGTTTCCACAAGAAAGTGCCCAGTTTGAACCACTCTGTACATGAAAACTCGCGAACGGAAATGTTTTCCTGTAGCATTTCTATAAATGTCGAGATAAATGTACAAAAATTTGGTCAAAATTCATGGACGTATAGATGAAGTTGTATTATTTCACATACACAAAAATCTGAGTATCTGAATGCTCCATTTTTTTTGTAATTAAATCACAAAGACGGATGCTCGTATGTTTTTTACCAAAATTCATCAAAAATAATTAAATAAAATAATGTTACACCTTTTAATTTACCAGAATTGGACATACTAAGGGTTTAAATTTTAGTTGGAACACCCTATATAATAACTGACATTCCATTTTTACCTTCGCACTAAGAGTAAGGCCAATGCCCATTTCCAAAAATAATAAATTACACTACTGCGGCGCAGCTTGGTTCGTCCAGCTGCCCGTTTCATTATCAGATATATTAATAATTAGCCAAGGCCGCTAATTATTTGGCTTGCGTCAATTTTTTTAGTTGTCCAAAATCTCTCCAATGTCGGATTGTATTATAACAGAGAACTGATCTAGAGAGAAACTGTTACAGATGGGACACAATGGAAAGTTTCTCTATGTAACAGTCCCGCAGGACCCATTGTAACTTGAGGCGCGCTTGTAGGTATCGCCTGCTTGCCGTCGATCATGGCATGTTATCATTTATCGACGTTAAACACCAGCAGTGGCCCGTTGTTTTGATCACAAATCCAAAGGACGCCCTGTTCTTGATGCCTCGTAAAGAAAACTTTGAAATTGTCACCGAATCTACGCACGTTCGACTTTTGGCGTTTTCTCCTGTTCCTATCAAAACGGTTAAGATTCAAATTGACAATGAAGCGTGGGTGGTATGTCGGCATGTCGAAGGGCCATTGTACGTGGCCCCTTGGAGTCCAAAGATGTACAAAATTGGACTTCATACCATTAAAGTAATATTTTAAAAGTTAAATCTACTTGTATCATTTTTCACTTTTAGGCGTATGTTCGTGACGAAGATGGCAGAATTAAACTCCATACTCAGCCCTTTTCATTAGAAGGAAGGAAACTGTCTTTTGAATTTTTGGCAAAATTTGTCTTAATGACGAATGCAAGCACTTTCGTACGCATTTCGTTTTCATTGTTCTCTACGTTTATCATTGCTTGTTTTAGTTTAAGTGCATGTTTTGGACTTTTAACCTCGTGGCGATATTGCCATTGATGTTGTTAAGGATGGTTCATTATTGTGCCATTAAAAGTAAGCGCGTTTACTTTTAAAGTTAAGCTTTTGTAAATGTAAATTTCAGAACACATCATTTCTAAAACAGGAGGCTTCACCGGCTGCTTTTACCTGTGGATCAGGAAGCTGTGGACTTTATCGTCCGTCGATCGAATCTTTTGGCCCACAGTTTTGTACCCGATTTACTTAACAGTAGGCCCTTGGTCCGTCGGATTTATTGTCGAAGATCGTCTAGGCGCTATTTTTGCATGGGGTATATACGTCGACGGTATTTTTTTGCCAGGTTCGTTTACGTATGCCTATGGATTTATACAGGTGAGTACGGCTCTGATTTAGTTACGAGGATTTTATTTGTAATTTGAAGCTGTTCACTTTCCAACTGCCTCTAATATTCATTCTGGCAAACGGTGTGGATTTTCGGTGAGTGTGCGAAGGTGAAGGGAATTTAAGTGATTAGTTTATAGGGTCCGATGTCTTATGGAGAAAGAAGAACCGTCTCATTTGGTTAGAGTGCGGCTGCATCTACCCTTTATTGTACTTTTAACCCTTCAAGTCATAATGGCTTACTTTTTCTGGTTGGCTTATGGGACCTTGGCCTTTCTACTTGGTGTGCTCCGTACGTGGTCGATAGTCCTTGCCGTTATATTATGGATATTGACGCTGCACTTGCCAGAGCGCTGCGCGTGGTAAACATTTTAATGCAGTCTTTTTCAGTTTACATCAATGTCTTTCTCTTTCAAGGGGCGCAGCGAAAATTTGGTCGCACAAATGTGAGCAAGAATCGGTATCCACTTCGAACGCGGGTCTGAGTGCGTTCAAATAATTCATATAGCAATGTGATTTTAGTATTTTACTTTGTAAATGTGATATAAGATATTTTTGTAGTCAAATCTGTTCAATGGCCTTAATCAAATGACTGGTTAGAATTGTAAATTTTAAGTACGTTTTATAATGTTTGTATTTTCTATGTGATTGTAATGTTTTTGTCGCCAATTACCATTACTTATTTAGGTACCTCGAACTTTCCAGTGTATGATTGTATTAATACTATACTATACACCAATTAAGGAAAATATACATACATAATTGTTTTTGTTTTATCTAGGTGTTTAATTCTTTCCATATCCACAGTGTAAATCCATTATTTAAAATTTGAATATTCAAGATGTGTTTAAAATTTAGATCTTTTATTATCAAATTTAAATTGCGGAGTCTCAGTAAAATTTAACCCTAACGGTACAAACATTCCCATCAGTATTTAAGGTAGATAATAAACCCACAATTCTTGAATTTGGATTTCAGCTACAGTAATGGAATAAGATTAAAGAAGAAGAAAAAATAAAAAAGTTTAAAAAAGGCATAAATACATAGCTAATATGTCATTGAATTTCAAATTCAATGTAGGATAAATTGCCCCGTCAAAATCACTCATATGGGCATTCTGCGAGTAAACTTAGCCTTAAAATAAGTCTTAAAAACGCTCTTAAGGGATCGGTCCAAAGAGGGTTCCCACTTTAGCCTCCGGGGGGAATCGCCCCGTGAAGTTCCCCCGCAATATTCGCCCCCAAGACAATTCAAGACGGATACATTCTTCACAAGACGTTTATCCTTTAAAAATCCTACTAAAAAGAAAAGGTTAACGGTTGTCATTTATCTGTTTTTAAATTAAAAATAATTTAATATTTATTTTTCAACACACAAGAAGAAATACAAAAGCTTTGGAAAAATCGCTCAACAGAAACTGGTTCGCCCCAAGGATTTTATCTTCTCGAAAACCTACGTACAAGATTCGATCATGTAAGCTCACGCCTTAGGGAAAATTCCCCTCGCCTGAAGTAGGCGAAGTTTCTGGTGTTAAATTACTGGAGATCAATCGGAAAAATTGTTCCAAGTGTAAGTGTAAATTTATAATCAATTCCAATACTTGAAGAATTTCTACCTATACATAAGCATCCCTAAAGTTGTGGCGGTCTACCCTATTACGTTCCCAAAGTTTGAAAATTATTTTTAATGAAATTAAGCATAAAAATCAAAAAACTTTATTGGCGTTTTTTAAAGAGAAAATACGTGTAAATGTATAATCAATCGCGATATAGGAAGAATTCCTAGCAAAGTATCCCTACAATGAGAGCAGCGCTCGACCCTATGATGCGATCTAAGAAATGTTAGTGCATAAATCAAAGAAACTGCTAGTGAAGATCCGTACACACCGCTTTGGCGGTGGTCAGCTAATAATGATCAGGTGTGGCTCAAACATGTCGAAGATAGTTAGTAGGAAATGCAATACCGGGATTGCGGGATCCCGCGGCATTTTTGCGAGATTAATCTCGCACATAAATGGAGCGGGATCTCGCGGGATTTGCGGGACTGAGGAATTGGTCGACCAAGGGGACGACTCTGTTTACTTTGTTAATGAAACTGATAACATCGATTTATTATTTTTATTTATTTAAATAATTGTTAAACTTTTTTCGTTAAAAATGTACTATGATTTTTGAGGGACTTTAGAAGACTTTTTGTGCTTTACGGGTAAGGTTTTTTTGTTATAAGTTAGGCCGAAGGTACTTTTTTGTTAAATATTGCAATAATTAGCGATTTATTTTAATACAGAAGTTAACCGCACAGAATTGCTTATTTGCCAATTTATTTAAAGTTTTGCGAGATCCCGCGGGATTAACATCTAACAATCCCGCAAATACCGGGATTGAGATAATGTGCTTAGAACGCCTGCTCGAAGTACGATAGGAATAGACCTGGAGACGAATCTTTTAAGGGCGAATGTGGCGTATTGGCAATAAATTTTTCAAATACACGACAGCATTTTATTTAGCGCCACCCGCTAGATTCCAAGAGCAAATATTTCGGGGATGAATCTTCGGAGGTGGAAAATCATCATCACTAAACTAAACGCGAATTTACTTTTGGGTAAGCGTCAGTTCAACAATCATAATTTTTTGATTTGAAGTTTCAGCTTGTAAAAGGCACCCTTCGAAAAAGCAGGTAGATATAACTCTAAAATTCTACTTCTAAATTTCAGCCAGAATTCGATGACAATTCTAAATACGGAGATGCTGTTGCTAGCATCATGACAGCGGGTTTTTTTTGGGTTGCTTTGGTTTCAAATACATTTACAAATCTCCGTTTTGAAAATATCATTTCCGCAAACTTCTCAGAGCATGTAATTTAATCAATTTTGGGTCCCAGGCAAAGTATAACAGCTACACTTTTTATGTGAAAATGTAATGTAACATTTTTAGATTTAGCCTCGGATTTAGCTCATACGTTTACCATTATTTTGGGAAAAAGCAAGTTATGTGTTCCTTTCAGACAATAGGTAAGCAATAAAATGGTTATTTTCCATTTATTTTGATGTACTGTAAACAAAAAACGGATGGAATGTAATATTCTTTACAAGATGATTTAGGCTGTATTTTAAGGGATATTTTGGAAAATGCTGCGTTACGTTCGCCATTTGAATTGGTCGTTATTTTGAAAGTACGAAAAACACTTGGTCTAAGTGCTGGATTAAAAATATTTATTATTATTATCTTTCGGTTTATCATGACTAAAATGCATCTCCCAGTTGAATCACATAACGTAGGTATCTATATTTCTTATTGAGGAGAACAACTTGTACGCATTTCTTCATTTTCCAAGGGGCGAATTGGTCATAAAATAAATCTGTGTTCTGTGGTTTATAACTTATAACACTGACAGTGCATACACTAATAATGAGACAAGTATCAATCAGACCTTCTTCTTATTGGTTCACTAAGGCAAAAAGTTTGTGAAATTCTTCATTTCTTGCAAAATCGTATCATTATTACAGGGCAAACGAATAAAACGCATTCAACGGTTATAGAAAGGTATATAATGTATATATAAAAGTAAAAGCTACAACGATTAACATCCATAAATCTTTATCTACAATTAACAATATATTATTCACCACAAGTTCAATTTCGTATTGCACAATTAGAACCATTTGTGTTCGAAAATATAAACTGGTTCACCAGCAAACGGGACAAGTGGTCATCCTTAGGTAGGTACGTAATTGAAGTAAAACATCGGTTTCAGTTTATGGAGAACGTTTGCTTGCGTGAACCACAAACAGCTTGTAGGGCACCTGGACGCGTTGCTCATTATTGTTGTCGCATTCGTCAAATAAATGCAACTTCTTCACCTCCTTAACGCAATCGCTTAGGTAATCTTCATGCATTTTCGACGGTATTTGGCTGTAAAATGGACTGACCGCCGTTATCGATTCTACAATTGAAGTGCAAACGAACCGCTACAAAATGCATTCACTTACTCACTTTTTAATACCGCCACGTTGGGGTAAACGTAAATTCTGTCTTCAGTTTTACAAATGTCAATATCAAACCCAACATCGAGCAAAATTTCCTCCAGCTGCTTATCGGGATTTTCCGAATATTGATACGGCGAAACGTAGTTTTTCACATTTTCCATGTAAGATTCCCACCGACCTTTTTTGGAAAGCGACTGATAAATTTCGAATATCGGGTTATTAGCCAGAAATGCTAAAAGCACGTCGCCGTCTTCCTTTAACATTTTATAAATATTCGCGAGGGCTTTCCTGTAAAAAAAGTGATTTATTAATTATTTAAATTTCGTCTAAGTACCTTTGATCTTGGACCCAATGCAAGCAGTAAAACGAAAGTATGTGATCGAAATTTTCTTCAAATTCAACCGGAATATCGTCAGTCGCGATATTCATGTGCTCGAATGCGATCTTCGAATTTTGGCAATTATTCTTGGCAAACTCGATCATCTCCTCGGATAAATCGACGCCGACTAATTTTTCAAATTTTTTTGGTAAACGCGGCAGCAGCAAATCGCGAATAACGTCACCGGCGCCGCAACCGACGTCCAAAATGCTGGCGTCCTTTCTCCACTTAATTAAGTCGAAGTAATTGTCTAAAACGTAGATTGCGTCGTTCTTCTGCAAGCCGTTGTACTTTGAGTACAGTAATGCCTGGTTCATTTTTGGGGATAGGTACCTACTAAAGTTACGTTTGTAACCCCGTAATGACAACTAGACATTTCTTTTGAAGCATCTTCTTTTATAGTAAAGAGGGGGCACCTGGACCAGATCATCTTTTTCAAATACAGCGGTAACCAACAAGTAGATTTTTCTTATTTGTCGTAGTCAATTTTTTTGCACTCCAGAAGTTACTCCCGCCAAAAATCCAGGCGTCGAGGCCTAGCGGTGACGCGAATTGCATTCGTAACTGCGCCAGTTTGTAAATATACGTAATTCATTGACAAAAAAAATTGTTTACGTTAATAATAATATTTGAAATCTATTTTTGTGTCACCTTTAACCTACCTTACGGCTTAGAATTTCTTACGCAACATTTTCATTGTTATGTCTTAGAATTTGAAATAAGTAAAAAGTGACATAGATAATTTCGAAGATTGTACTTATAACACGAAAGATAAAAATGCATTAATGGGTGCATGCCCGTTTTATATTATACTGTAAACAAGGCTTGAACTGACCACTACAACATTTAAGAGTTTAGGAACCACGAATTTCGAGCTGGACCGGTCATGGAACTCTAAAACGAGCAAAGCCAAAAAAATATCATATACAAAAAAATGTAATTGTGTCTGGTCAGGGCTGTTTTAAACGACGATGCTTGTCTTATACTTTTTTATTTTCTTGGTAACGCACGCATATATTCGATAGGTGGAGTAGGTAAGTTCCGCGTCCCATCCTTTATTTTATATTCAAAAAAATGCGAGTAAAAAAAGAATTTAATTACTTGTCGAATTTTTCCAGCTTTAAAACGTTTTGGATTTGAACAACGAGAAGAAAGTTTTTGTCTTTTATCAATAATGAAGGTCAGGGACCAACGTTACATAAATACCATTATAGATTAGGCTAGGTAAGTATTTTATGTGTACATCTGAGGAGAGAAATTTCGAATAAATTAGTTTCTGTTGGGAAGCTCGATGCATACGAACGTCAAGTTATGGCCACGTCTTTAAAATTAGATCTCAAAGTTATTAGACAAATTAGAAAGTACCCGGTCGTATATCTCTTAAATAGACTTTCTTTTTCGTAGATCTTTCATCGTTAAAAATTCCTGGCCCTTTTCATAATTAAATACTAAATATTTTCTATAAGCGTAGGTTATGGATCTTATGGTATTGTCATTTTTAACACTTACTTCTCTTGTGCAAGTGCATACTTCATAAACGGCAGATGTTGCTGCATTGTTGTATTTCTTAAATTAATGACCTTTCTACTCTGCGACCGGATTTATAGAACAGAAGTTTTAATAAATGTACAATTTGGGGTAAATTCTCAAGGTTCACCTTAGGAAAATATGTTCGCGAAATTATTCACCTTCAATGAGGGCTAGTTCGCACCAGATGCTCCAACGAATATTCGTTCCCCCTAAAAGGTAAATTCGACCAACATGCGAATCTCGGAAACCATAGAAGATACGAAGATGGTCAAATTAGGGAAAAGTTGCGCAATTAAACAGTTATTATGATGCTGTAAAGAAAACCAGAAAATTCGGATTATTTCCGAAGATATGCCAGAAACACCGAAATTTGCCGATTTTGTTTATATTCTTTTCTGATGTTGGTTGAACAGATACAAAAAAATAAAAAAACGTCGTTGAGAGATTTTCAATATAAAGTGTCGAGAAATCATCATAAACTTAATTTTCTTAATTGGCCCGTAAAAGAAGTACATACTGTAATGAATATATAGCATTTTTTATTAGGAATACAATACACTACACATACAAAAATTGAAAACTGTTGGTATCGGACACATTTTCCATTTTCCAGGACCGCAGATGGGTAATTTATTTGCAGAATTCAAGTTTAGCTTTATTTTATTATACCAGCATATACATAATGTTATTCAATGAAAAAAATCTCGATAACGATGGTCAAAGGACATTTCGCCACGAATTCACCTAAGGAACCTGTTCCTGGTGGGACACCCTGTATAAGTAGGTATGCATAATAGATTGTAGCAAACAACTCAAAAGCTCTTAGAAACTCATGAAACCTCTTCTCCTACTGTCAAGGATGTATAAAAGCTGCTTAAAGGTCTCTAAGACACCTGAAACCGAAAAGTTAAGCCTCTACAGTCAATTTGCATTGCAGTGTTATTGCAAATGGTTAGATTACCAACAACACACAGTCCTAGGTATATTTCTATCCTCTTCATATCTTTGCATATTTTATTCATGTACTGTTAAACACAATAGACAATATCGATCAAGGACTAATTATGTAAACAAATTTATCGAAAAGGTGTTGTCAATATTTGAATAAAGGTGCACAAATACCTGTTTACTCAACTGCATTTTTGTATAATGACATCTTCTGTACTTTACCTGGTTCAAAATGAACTGAAACTGCTGCGGCCGACAGTTGGGTTACGGTAGCGAGATATACTAATGTCACCTTCTCTCTCGTAATAGGACCATTTTTTGTGATACGCGGTCCCACTTGATTTATATTTTATCAAAAGTTTGAGGGAACATTGTGAGAAGAGCTTTATACTCCGTTGGGTCTTCGATTCTGAATCCTTTGAGCAACTGAGATGCTGCGCCGCCTGAATCTCTTCTCAACATCCACTTTCTGGTCCATTCTTTATTATTTTCCAACTCTTCCTGAGCACATCACAAAATAAAGTGACAAAAGCGCAATATAATATTAAAAATACTGTTAAAGACAATTAAAAGCTCTTAAAGTCATTGAGGGAACTCTAACAAAATTTGAAGGCATGTTAGTGTCTTTAAATGGTTGTGGATTGTGAAACCCATTTAAAACTAGCAGAGAACAGACATTTGGTGCCTAAGTAAGACTCTAAGAGCAATAAAATATATGAATTTTAATTCATATCTTTAAAAAAGTCTTAAAGCTCTGAAAAGCTAACAAAGGCTTTTACTTGCTTCTAATAACGACTCACGATTCACGAAGGTTTGTTGAAAACTCGTGAGGGGTTTAATTTAAGCCTTGAAAATCCTTTAAGAGCCAACAAAAAACAAACCTCAATGGTTTTTTGGACGGATAATTTCGTGCAAATCAGAACTTGTGGGGACTTTTTGAGCGTAGTTACCAAAGGAAACATTTACGACCCTCGGTTCATTTGAAATTTAATGTTTTGGGTTGCTTAGGCACCATCTAACACACTCAACACGTAATAGTTAAAATATACAACAGCGACGACACAAATAACGAATTTCGTGTTGCGGACTCTTTAAGAGAGTTCGCATTGCGGAAGTTTTTTGGCCAAATATGCATTTTTCGAGTCTAAGATTTACGTAGGAAAAAAAATTAAAAGGGGCGAAAATTTTAAGGTTGTTGTGTTAGTGAAGTCGACCTTCTGCATGTTCGCAAATTTGAAATTCAGATTCAGTTCAGCCTCTCAGAAAAAAAGCACAGTTTTGTTAGGGAAAAACCAATACCTGGACTGTACTGAACAACATAATGCATAATGCATACGACCGTTAATTAAAAATAGTAAAAGTTGCGTATTATACACCTCGGCATGTACCTAATTAAAAAAAGACTCATTGTCTTAATCTAACCTTGCATATTGTATTAATGTCTTTTAAGCTGACCGTCGCTTATCTTTATATAGGTTCTGAATTATAAGCAGAGATAATTACTTTTCTTTGGCGTTTCTTCACTACGTAAATGTACAGATATATTTAAATCTGTGGTAAATTTGAACTATAGGCAAATATACACACAGAATTGTTCGTGAACTGCCTGAAATCGTGTGTTTTTCCCTCCAAATTTCCTCAAAAGAACACGTTATATTTAACTTGAGATAAAAATCTTGTAAATAAGTAAGATGGGTCCCCAATATGTGCTCGCGGTTACCCAAAACTAAAATTTACAAGAGTTTTGAGGTAAAATTTGGGCTCTTCCGCGTGCATTTTAAATTATAGGCGTCGTAATTTTAAAATTCCAGGCCCATTTCACTTTCGGACGTTTCGCACCAAACTCGGAAGTGGAAGGTGCACCTTTGCAAATATGGGCACAAAAAGTTTTGTTTGAAAATCTGTGCCAAACATTTACTATTATACAATGGACAGTTATTGAGGTCACGTGTGGTGTGTAATCGTATAGCGCGAGTTTTATGATATTCAGTATAAGTTTGCCGTAGCGGTTTATCGTACATAGTGTAATTGAAGTAAACCTAATTTTTATTTAATTACTATTAGGTGGGCGTTACTTTTAGTGTCGATCATCGACTATTATTATTGGCATGTGACTTTGATGTTACCTGCGCGCGGCAATATTCGAAGTTTGCGTCCAAAAACGGCAATTGTGTAGATGTATCCTTCGTTTTCAGTGAGTATAATTTTGAGAGCGTTATCTAATAAATGAGTACTTATCAGTAACTAAAAAATAAGCAAACACGTGTACTAAACGAGATGAAATTCCTATATTGACCGCCTTTGAAGACGCCTTCGCAAACACAACTTTTTTCATATTTCATGATTTGCATAATATTAGAAACTTGTCCTTGGACTTCAGTTGCGTTATTTTTTTACGATGCACGCACAAAGTTTTTCTCTTTGGGAAATCAAACGCGGTAGAATAGGGACATCTGTTCAAACAAGGGATATGGTTGTTTTATTTACAAAGTTTAATTTAGTGAAGAGATAAAAATTCTCCGCCTACCGCCTTGATGTTTTCATACGTAATCCTTAACTTATGCCTCAAAGAAATTTCATTTAGATCAGAGCCAAATCATTTTATAAGTGTAATTTATAATTGGCATGTCTCTCACCTTGATTGAAAATATATTGCACGAACAGAAAGGTTACCGAGCAACCTTTGCAAAAATCAATATTTTTGCATGCCATAGGCACCCTTACTGCTACAGCCCAACTACCTACTATGGATTAGGTCAAAGACCAAAGATTTAGCCTTCCCTAACGTACCTATATAAAGTAAATATCATTCTATTATTTATGCACTATATACACGGTGGATTGGGGAGATTTGGTCCACATTCCCCACGCATGTTAACTAAATACCACCCCTACATATTTTTACAGATTTTTTATCGAAACTCAGCATATATTTAACATTAATATAATTAATTAAAAATTGAAACTCTAGTGTGATATTTCGTATCTTGATTCAATTTTGAGATTAAATTATTAAAACAAGCCGTATAAATGTCGAGGTGTGAAACAGCCTTTTCTACGAAGGGATATTTTTATGTCACCTAGGTAATTAAAGAAAAGCAATGTATGGCAAAATAAAATTTATTTTTCTAAATGCGTAGGTAGGTACATACAGGGAGTTCAAATTCGTGGATAACCATTGGGATCTCCGTAACGGTGGGGGATACAGTGCAGATTAAATGTGGGCAAAGTTGTCCTTTTTAGTGACGTATGTGAAGTTTTTGAAAAAAGAGTGAGATCACCGAAAAACTGAAAATGTCAAATTTCGTTTCCCTAGCTTAAGCAGTCGGAAATGGATGTTACGGAATCTGTTATCAGAATTTCCATAACACGCTAGATGTAGAAGCTGCAGCCTACCACCATCTTATTTCATTTGGGCGCCATATTGGATTGCTGCGGAATGAGTTAGAGACAAAAAAAGAAAAGTAATGACAAGTCACACTCTATACTTACTTAAATTAAAAAAAAAAGTTATTCATTTTTCAACAAAACATCCACGGGTAACTATAGATCTTGGAGAATCAACATGGCTATGATGGCGATGCATTGAAAACACTTTCTTTTTTTTGTCTTCTATCTTATTGGGTAAAACTCCAATATGGCGGCCATAAGAAATAAGAAAGTACCTAGTAGCCGTAGCCTGTAAGCTTCTACATATATCTAGCGTGTTATGGAAATTATTTCCGACCGTTTAAGCTAGGGAAAATAAACAGGAAATTTAACATTTTCAATTTTATCTCAGTTATTCTCAAAGATTTTCCAAAACTTTCAAATGAGTTTTGTTTGTCACAAAAAGAGGAAACTTAGCTTCAATTTAACCTACACTGTAACTCTTACCGTTACGGACATCCCAGTGGTAAGACATGAATTTGAACCACCGTGTACATTCAACCTCTACAAGTCTACACCCTTATTATTTGACCGTTTCTACAATCAACGGATACATTCTTTCGAATATACAATATGCGTATTTCGGACAAGAGATGCCAAGTTCAGCAGTGTACTCTGTCTTCCAACTAAAGCCGACACTAACGCTGAATTTGTGATAATAGGAGCTAAGAACTCGACCAATTAGCAAATACAAAGCAATTTTATTGTTAAGCTTTTGGGGTTGACTGTAATTATTTATTTGTGGTTTTAGTTAATTATTTGATGTCTATGCTGCGGCTAAAGTAATTAATGCGGGGATTATTCATATAGTTACTGGTTAATTTAAATAATCGAGGGAAGGAAAGCTCTTCATATCATCTTCTTGCTCCATGAATTATCCATAATCCCCGCATTGATTACTTTAACGGTAACATGTACGATCAATCTCACATCAAGATTTTCATCTAATCTAATTCAAATTGAAATGATGTCTGCAGCGGCACACGAGCTATTTGGGAGAAAGAGAAATAAGAACGTCTTTTATCCATAATGCCGGAGCGTATTATGCTTGTGAAGTATTACGGAAAAATGAGAGGAAAAATGTAGGAAAATTCACCTCGAAAAATGTTAGCTCCCGAAATACCCACATACGTATATTATAGATCCGTCGACGAGCAACAGAACGTTGCATCTAGAATGTTCTTTCACAGGGAAAGTTCGCCTCCAAAATATTTGAACCTAGAAAAGAATTGCAAAGAATTGTCACACAAAGCTAATGTT